ACGCTCTTCCGATCTAACGAATGAATGGGCACACAGTCACAAAGGGTGGGATAGTCTCCTCATGTACTAGACACATTTATAATAAGCCATTGTTACCAGAAAGACTTCCTGGTTCAGTGATAGTAACGTATATGTCAGTTATTTTGAGTTCCAGTTTTTGTTTTGTACATGATAGCTTTCTTTTAGATTCTTAATATTTGCTTTTCTCCTTCTATTTCCTGCTTAGACTGCAGTCCTGTAGGTGAACTCTTTGAGAGGTTTTGAGAGAAATGATCAGATGACGAAGACAAATCTTAACTCTTCCTTCCTCCCGCAACAGTGAGAACAGGAACAATGAGAGGCTACAGCAGTCCAAATTAACTTGGGATGGGAACATTTGGCTGTGGTGACTTGGCCATGGCATCCAAACAAAAACTAGAAAGATAGACTTCCATCTCTATATCTTCTTTGGCAAGCTGAGGACATCACGAGGTGTTATTTGAAATAATTGATCAGTATCAAGAAATCCTTAAAATTAATCTGGCATCCAGCATGGGTCTGTAGCTTTATCTCTTTCAAGGATGTCCCTTCTGTAAGTGTGGCATTAACTTGTCACAATTACTTCTGCAAACAAATATCAAGTAGCCATATTGATACACATCAATAATAAGCGAACCATATAACACACTAACTAAATTTGAAGGAACTGAGAGATAACAAAAGACCAGTAAGAAATGGGTAACCAGCAGAAAGGCTGGCAAACTAAACACACAATCTATGTTAACATGAAATGTTACCATGTTATAATTGGTCTTCTCCAGATATTCGATAAGATTATCAATTAACCCTGTACTATTACACCTTCTGTCTTTCTAAATGTCACCTACCTAGTGACAAACTAGATTATCTAGTTTGCAAACTTGGCCACATTATATCAATGTAATGTCTTCTACATCAGACCTGTTTGTCTCTATTTGTACCTAATACTGTCTACGTCATTTTGACCAAAATCACACAACACTGGGTTATAGACCAACAGATTTATTTGAAAACACAAGCTTTCAGAGCACTGCTCGTTCATCACCTGACAAAGTAACAGTGCTCTGAAAGCTTGTGACTTCAAATAAACCTGTTGGACTATAACCTGGTGTTGTGTGACTTCTGACCTTGTCCACCCCAGTCCAACACCAACACTTCCACATTATTTTGGTTGCTTCTTGCATTCATAAATGGAAGCTGTAAATTTTAACACCCTCTTCTATACTCACCTCCAATGCCTACATCTCTGCTACCCCTTGTAAAAAGATTCTGATGCACACCTTTTGCCTAATTTGATGATAGGGGGTTGACTGCTAAGTCAGGGAATGTTGTTGTGTTGTAGGTGCTATCAGAGGAAACTCAGTGTCAGATGTTAGTTGGAAAGATTAAACAGGAAGGTGACTGCAATCATCAGTGTCTTCGAGCCCTTCAGGAACAGATCCAGGTCAGTTTTAACAGTTTCGATTGAAGCAGATGTACCTTTTCCTGTTAAGCATAGATATTTTCTAATCAACCTGTTCAAAAGTTGTTATTACACACCTCTGGAGCAGGCAAAACTTGAACCTAGGTCTCCTGGCTCAGTGGGAGGATCACTGACACTCCACTACAAGTGCTTGTTAAATCTATCATAAACTGCCTGCTCACTGTTCATTGTTTAATGAGCCCCCGTGTGGTGCTGATTACTGGGTACCAAGAAATCCCAGGTCCCAGATTTGACTGCTGTCAGGGGTAACAGAGTCAGCTCCTTCAGCCTGTTTCACCATCCAATTAGATCATAATGTGGAAGTGTTGGAAGTGCGGATGAAGGAGCTGCACTCTGAAAGCTTGTGATTTCAAATAAACCTGTTGGACTATATCCTGGTGTCATGTGACTTCTGCCAATTAGATCATGGCTGATCTGGAACTTAATACTTCTCGGCTGCCATGGATTCATATTCCTTTCAGCTTTAACACACAATTTGCCCCACCCATGTCCCTACCAACTTCTCTAAATTATATACTCTCAAATATTTATTTTACCCTCAGAGTAATGTGTTAACAGTATCTGAGTTCTTGTGGCAATATGCACCTTCACCTGCATGTTGTGGCCTGGAGCGGTGGATGGTGATGATAGAGGCACCAAACTTGCTTTCTATCATGTGGTGAACCAGGAATCTATTCTGCTCATACTCCCTGCCATTGGCATGTGTTGGAAGGATTCAATCTTTCTGTCTGTGTTTTGATCACACCTTACAAGAGCATTAGGTTCTGGCTCTCAGTCTGGGATGCTGCTATCCTTTTTGTCCCCAGATCACATCACCTTACCTTTCACCCCAAAACATTTATCTCCATTTTCAAATGTTCAATTGACCCCAGCCCCACAACAGTTTTTTGGGGAAATGAGTTCCAGATTTCTACTAATCTTTGTGTAAGTAAATTCTACCTGATATCACCCATGTGTGGCTTGTCTATAATTTTTAAGATTATACTTTCTGTTCCAATGTCTGCTAACAGAGGAAATCATTTAGAGTCGTAGAGACGTACAACATGGAAACAGGCCCTTCAGTCCAATTCGTCCATGCCGACCAGATATCCTAAATTAATCTAGTCCCAATTCCCAGCATTTGGTCCATATCCCTCATATACCCATCCAGATGCCTTTTAAATGTTGTAATTGTACCAGCCTCCACCACTTCTACTGGCAGCTCATTCCATACACGCATCACCCTCTCTGTGAAAAGGTTGCCCCTTAGGTCCCTTTTAAATCTTTCCCCTCTGACTTTTAAAGCTGTGCCTTCTTGTTTTGGTCTCCATCAGCCTAGGGAAAAGACCTTGACTATTCACCCTATCCATGTGCATCATGATTTTATAAACTTCTCTAGGGTCATCCCCTCAGCCTCCAACACTCCAGGGAAAGTAGCCCCAGCCTATTCAGCCTCTCCCTATAACTCAAACCCTCCTACCCTGACAACATCCTTGTAAGTGCTTTCTGTACCTTTCAAGTTTCACAATATCTCTCATACAGCTGGGAGTCCACCTTATCAGTTCCTTTAAATACCTTAAAGAATCATTTAGATTACTCTTCATCTTCAAAGCTCATGGAATACAAGCAACCTCTTCTCATGAACGAACCATTTCAGTCCTGGTTTCATTTTGATAATTCAGAATGGCAATTACCAATCTCCATTTTGGAACAGTCTGGTTTAAGATTACAAACCTTGTTCTGGATCCCAGACCTAGGAGCAGCTGGAGCAATAAGAGGGACAATGGAAAAGGTAAGGGCCCTTGTAATATCGATGTCTTCTTCTGAGTAGATTCAGCACCACAGACGGCAGGTGAAGGCAATGAAGGGACTGTTGAAGCAGTGTGGAGGGCAGTGAGGGAGCAGCTGGAGTGCTGAGCACATTATAGCAATGACCGCTTCATTGAGCATTGAGTACAGGAGTTGGAACATCATGTTACAACTATACAAGACATTGGTAAGGCTGTATTTGGAGTGCTGCATACAATTCTGGTCACCCTGCTAGAGGAAGGACGTTATTAAACTGGAAAGGGTGCAAAAACATTTACAAGGATGTTACCGAGACTGGAAGGTTTGAGTTATAAGGAGAGGCTAGATAGAATGGGACTTTTTTCCCCGGAGCATCAGAGGCTGAGGATTATAGACATTTATAAAATCTTAAGGGCATGGATAGGGCGAACAGACCAGGTCTTTTCCCTAGGGTGGGGGAATCCAAAACTAAAGGGCATAGGTTTAAGGTGAGAGGGAAAATATTTAAAAGGGACCTGAGGGGCAACTTTTTCACACAGAGGGTGGTGCATGTACGGAATGAGCTGCCAGAGAAGGTGGTGGAAACGGATACAACGACAATATTTAAAAGAAATCCAGATGGGTATGTGGATAGGAAAGGTTAGAGGCATATAGCCCAAATGCAGGCAAGTGGAACTAGATCAGTTTAGGAAACCTGGTCGGCATGGACGGGCTGGGCCAAAGGGCCTGTTTCCTTGCAGTACAACTCTGTGACTGTATGACTCTGACTGTAGAGTCCTTTGGGATGTGTTGAGATTGTGAGAAACACTGCATGATTGGGAGTTTAATGGTGCAGTGCTGTTTCCTGTGCTCAGGGCTTGTGGAAATGGCTGTGTGAGACAGAGGAAAGTTCAGCTGTACAAACAACATCAAATCCACACGGTGAGACTGAAATGGTGACATCACAGCCAGGAGGTGCAGAGAACAGGTACCTAACATAAATGTTTTGGAGTATATTCCAGCCACTGAACTCAAATAAACATCACTGACAGTAATAGTAGGAACTGCAGAAGGTCTAGGCCCGAAATGTCAGCCTTCCTGCTCCTATGATGCTGCTTGGCCTGCTGTGTTCATCCAGCTCTACACCTTGTTATCACTGACAGTAAATTCTCCAGTGTAACTCCATGTTCAAATTATACTCCTGTTATCTATGTAGTGTCTTCAATATAATTATCTCAAGATGTTTCACCAGAGCATTATCAATATTCAAGTTCTCTCTTGCTTTAAATCAGCTAATTTGAGCTGTAGGGCAAGGTAGAATAAAATCCAAATTTCTTAACAGCCCTTTAATCCTAACTCACACTTAAGTCCCGTGACACCCTACACTCCTGGTCAAGCAATTCCTTGATTTTAAAATCCCTTTGTTTTCAAATCCATCCTCACTTATCCCCATCTCTGTAATCTCCCCCAGTCTCACAACCCTCTGAGATATCCACCCTCTCAAGCATCTTGAATTCTAATTCATTCCTCCACTGGTAGCCCTGCCATCAGCTACAAGGGTCTATCAAGTTTAGAATTCTGGAATTTTGGAACTCTCTCTCTCTCTCTCCTCCCTCCTCCCCAACCACCCATCCCTCCTTCAGGCCATTCCAATAAAAATGTAATTCTTTGAACTCCCCTGCTACTGATGAATCTTTAATTTCACTTCCAATCAAAGGCCAAGTTGTTGGCTTCGTTTAAAAAAAGACAACTTGTCGGTTCTGCGTTTCTCAGTAAGGGCCCCGCAACAGTGCAGCACTCTTCTGTAAGGGCCCCGCAACAGTGCAGCACCTCTTCCGTAAGGGCCCCGCAACAGTGCAGCACCTCCTCAGTAAGGGCCC